GAGAGAGAGAGAGAGAAGAGAGAGAGAGAGAGAGAGATATCGCGATCTTCTTCCGTCTATTAACAGGTTCGATTACTGCGATAAATATCGATATCCGTAATTATTTGGCGCAGCGATATTGATTACCTATCAATTCAGGAATCGTAGGCAGTAATGAACTTAACTTACATGCCAGTTTGATGTCCCCAACAGCATAGGCCGAAGCGGCGCGTGGTTTATGCGTCACGAGTGCCAGCTCGCCTAAATAACCGCCAGCCGGAACACGATTAATCTGCAGGATATTAAAGGTAGCAGGTTAAATAGGGACAGAATTTTCTTGGCGCTCGTCGACCCACGTAATCGGATCGTTTCGCGGAGAACCGAAATTAACTGTATAATATAAATGTACCTCAATTTCACGGCCGTGCTCGCCGAGTCTAGTGATCCTGACGACGCCGTCCTCGACAAAGTACATTCCGTCCGCGGTATCGCCCTGTCTGATTATTTGCTCGCCATCGGAATAGTGCTTCGGTACAAGAGCGTCCGCTAAATTCATCCGCTCATAAGGCTGGAAGAGATTTTTTTCAATTTAACACGGTGTAAATCTCGTAAAAGCGAGTTTTTTTTAAAGATTATTTTCCCTCTTTTTTTTTTGCGTTTAAATATTTTCTTTTTTTTAATTTACAGAGAAAGAACAGCTTCGATAAAGAAGATTATGCGGTGATTATTACTTAATCATTAAAATACACAAAATAACTCGAAAGTTATTTAAGATTAATTTAAGAGCGCAAATATATATTTAGAATCTATTAGAGAAGTAATTATAAATACAATTACGTAATGCCTACCTCCAGAGACTTCAACATCGGCACTTTGTTAATGAGGTCCTCGTACATTTTGCGCTTCTTGTACGCGGACTTGAGGAGAATACGTCGGAAAGTTTGCCTATCCATCGCCCAGAGTGTGCCAGACGTGATAGCTTTAACGGTAGCTGCTCTGGGCATGTTATACATAAGAGCCAATTCTCCAAAAGCACCGCGATTATCGTATGTGTGAATGTGATTTTCCACCAGTGTAGCGGGATCTTTGACGTATACATCGAATTTGCCTCTGAAACACGAAACGCGCGATGAGATGGAAATGATCAGGAAATAGAACAGAAGGTGAAAAAAAAACGATCGTAAAGCAATCACGTATTTCCGCCGTTATCCGAACAGTTTGAAATTCCGCCAAAGCGAACAGCCGAATAATTAGATTATTAAGCACTGTTGTTCGAATATTTTCAGCTCCGAGTAAAAACGCTGATCGACTGTGCGCATCCCATCTTGGTTCACTGGAGCTTCCCGCTGAAGGGAGAAGCCTATCGATACGTTAACTGTAATATATAAAGAAAAAGTATTACCTCTCGATCACATAAAAGTTGTCACCATCGTCGCCCTGTCGGATAATAAATTCTTCCGGTTGAACGAGTTTTTCGAACATTGCGTCCAATACGTCCGCCATTTGTTGCTGCAAAAGTAATTGTATTATACACGTATAAATACGTTTTAGCGCGATATTATCGTCCGAGATTTTAAAATATCGGCTTTAAAATTGTAGTACGCGAGCAGGGGAAGTCGCGTTAATATCGCGACGATCGATGTTCGCGCTTTTATAACGTAACATAAATATGTTACGATACTAATCACTCTCATCGCTACGCGTTTTTTTCCTCTTAACATAATTAATTTCTTGACAAAAAATTAACGAGGTCACTTTTCGGTAGGAGAAAACATTTTAAGACCAATCTCCTCTCGCGGATTTTCAACTTAAGTAACACAGTTATCCCTCGCAAATAAAAACTAAAGATTATAAAAAATAAGTTGGAAAATAGAATATATTAAAAGACAAGACTGTTTTGTAATCAATCGCTCAATGTTACCTAGTCAGTCAAGTGACGGCTAGTAATTTAGGCGACTCGAGCGAGTCGCTAGTGAAAGAAACAATTATCCCAATTATGCGAGTCGTCCCGCTCTGGCAGAACAAATTGCTCTAAATGAGAGATTATTCGTGGATCCCTTGGTATTTCGCCAGACTGGCGCGAATATACCACGACGCTCGTTACACCATACCATTTTGTTCATTCGCGATTGCGGCTGATGAAACGCGCTATGTTTAACTTACCTTGTCTAGATCGCGAAACAGAAGTATGTTCTTGACGCTCTCGCTAAGCCTTTGTCGCTGCTCGTCGCTCTTTGGATGGACCATCTGGAATCAATGAAGAGACGTGTGAAGATAATACGAAGCTTGGATAAAACGTGGATAGCTTCCACAATTAAAATCCGCTATCAAAATGTCCGTGATAATTGAGGCATTTTCCTTTGTCTCGGCGAGAAAGTCTCCTCCCTCGAGGAATAATTAGGAAGTGGTTTAACGCAATTCGAATCCGAACAAAGGATTGTGTAAGACACGTGTGGCGTTTCCCTTATCCTCAGGTTTCTTGATCCAAGTTCTCGCTCATTAAGAATTCAAAAATTATTCACATCGCTTTATTCATCGCGGCATTCACCGCTAAGTCGTTTACCAATGTCCAATGTCGACATTGCTCTTTCTGAGACTATTTTTGAATTCGTGACTTCTTCTGCAAGGTGCACGATAAGATCTTCCACAAGGGCGCATTCTATCTAAGAGCCAACGAGCGAGTTCGATAGTCTTCGTAGAGCTTGAGATATCGTCCCTTTATGCGCCAGACCCGATACGGTGAACTTTGACCTCTCCCACGGCTCCGCTCGCCATTATTCCAGAGATATAACGCGTCGTTTGTCAGATTTTGAGGACTATCAAAGACTGTACAATTTCGCGTGGGGTCCCTAGCGAAATTAACAATGCCACCGAAATGCCACGAGGCATTTTCGTAGAGAAAACGCGTTACGCAAGACGGAGTCTCCGCCGCGCGCGTCTCTTTTTCTCTTTGCACAACAATAACAGCGGCGTGAAATTCGAGATGTTTGGTATCATCTACGTAGGAGGCATTTAGAAGGCGCTAATCGCCGTGAATTTTCCGCGAATTAGAGAACGACGTTCGAGTTAAAAATTTCCATCCTTCGGAGGCGGCCCTCGCTTAACGTTGCCGTTAACGCGTTACATTATTCGTTTACCCTCATTCTCCCGCCGGCTAACTCGAAGCTCGCATCTTCCGCTAGTAAAATTATTCGCCTTTAAAACTTTGCACGTTGGATAACGCGACTTGCACCGTTATTGCGATGCCAATCCATACCCCCTCCCCCTCCCCTCCCTCCCCCCGCGTCTGCAGCGAGTAACACACGCGGTAATCGGTCTCTCGACAAGAGCGGTGGATGGAGGTGGTGGAGGTGGTGGAGGTGGTGGTGGTGGCGGCGGCGGCGGGTTCTTTTGTTTCGTTATCGCCGCCAATTGTTGCACACAGAAACGATCAATTTCGCAGGGAACCGTTACTCCACGTTCCCATTACCAACGTGTCCCATCTGCCGCGGCATTGTGCGGCCCGGCCGTGTGTATCGTATACGATTAGAACTTCGCCGAGGGTCAGCCGTTTGTCGACGTTTGCCACCTGCAGAAACTGTTATTTCGTCGCACACTCGCCGCATCGTCTCCTCCATCGCAAGAGCGCGCGTGCTTTGTTTTTACAATAACGAGGGACTTTCAACGGGTGTTCGAAATTGATTTCGCCTCGCACGCGCGCGAGAAAGTTTGGTCTTCCTCGTTTGGTCTTCCAATTTTCGGCATATATCTTTCTTAATTCTTCCTAAGAGCAAGTTACTATTGATATTTCGTTAAATCATATTTTCTTAAGGAAATTAGTCGGAAAGTATAGATATATCTTCCACATATATATTCGGCTCTCCTTTGAAAGACCCTCTTTCCTGCTCCCAGAATATTGTAAGCGCCTTAAAGAAAAATTGACTCCAAATTGGCTGAGAAATCCACCGTTAAAGGAAGAATGTGCGGGCCTGATGTACCTTTTATCGTAAAATAGTTAAGGAGGTTCGCGCACGTCGTGATAGTCTCGTCTTGGCCTTTCTAAAAATCACGAGTGTCCTAGTTTTCTCTGCTATTGTCCTCTGGTCGTAACATACAGAGAGAAAATATGGTCAGTCGATCGGTCGGTTGGTTGGTCGGTCGGTCGGCCTGGTCTAGGGGGAGAGAGAGAGAGAGAGAGAGAGAGAGAGAGAGAGAGAGATAGCCGATTTTCCTCTTCGTGTAACCAGCCACCACGGGACGACGATAATCGGATTCACCGGGGCTGCTTTGTGAAAATACTCTCTCTTTCCATCGTGGCACCCGATCCGTCGCTGACTACAACCTCGCAATCCCCTTTACTACCTCACACATACGCGCCATACATACGCAAATCCTTCTTTCTCCCTCATTCACGTGCACGTGTGTACGATACGTACACACGGCGATGATAGATACATACATACATGTAAATCACGTTCGTGCCAGGTTATCGAACACGAGGCCTGACGTCACAAAGGTACATCGTCGACCTCGCATCGCCGAGCAAAGTAACTCTTCGTTCGCGTTTCGTCACTCGCGCGGCAGCAGGCCGCGCGCGCGCGCGCGCGCGAGAGAGAGAGAAAGAGAGAGAGAGAGAGAGAGAGAGAGAGAGAGACGTGCG